GGGGCGTTCCTATCAAAGACCCTGGAGGACCAGACACACCCAGAAACCTCAGGGAAAGGACTCCAGTGTCTGTGGAGGTTCTCCACCCTCCAGGCCATCGTTGTCCCAAAGCTTGTTTTTTTTCCAAAAGGCCAATGGACTTTCTTGTTTTTTTTCCTTTGAAAACGTTTTGCTTTTCATCCAAGAAGCTTCTGAAACATTTTCAAAGGAAAAACCAAGGAAATTCAGTTGCCTTTTGGAAAAAAAAAAGAAATGGGATAAAAGACTCCAATGCACAAACTTAACGTTGCTCTAAAAGCAGGCCCTTTCCATCTTCCAAAAGATCGTTTCCACAATCTCAGCATCTCAGCTGAAATCTCAGTTGAAAAAGCTGGAGATGCTGCATCTGGTTCACGCCCTCAAAGAATCTGCAGCTACTTTTTGTATCTCTCTTCTCCTTCCTTGGTGCCCGTCTTGTTCCATCACCATCGGAGGACACAAGAGAACCCCCCAGAATGAAGGATTTAAAAACCGCCCGTCGAACGCACCGTGGCTAAACAAGATACGTCCATTTTGTTCCCATTTCTCAATCCAGCTGTGCATTTATGCAGCTGTTTTTGTTTTTGTTTTAGAGAAAACAAAACAGAGGCCCAAACCCAGAAAGCTGAAGAAAGAAATAAGTTGCGTAATGATTCCCTTCTGGAGTTCCCAGCCTCCGAACAAGAGAAGCATAAATTCTTAACGGAGCCTACACAGACCAGGCACTTGTGGTAAGAAATTCTCCATTTGCTGAGAAGGCGTTAGATATCCAAACTGCCCTGTCTATCAATGCCTCACCTCTAAGTCAGAAGTTCACCCTACGTACAGCTCACTCTTTTTTTCCCACTAGCAGAATTTTGACTGCTTACCGTCTCCCCCGGCCATCTTGGGAATCTTGCAAAGAGAAAGAGATTTAATTTTTTTAAAAAAAATAAATAAATAGGAATGCAAGATACAGCTGAGCACATGACAAAAAACTGCAACATGTAAACGGTGGCTAACGTGGCAAAGCGTGTATGACACACAGAAACATAGTGAGCCATTTTGGTTTCTCTGTAGAAATAAAAGATATCGCTTCAAGAAAGCAAGAACTTGAGCACAGTTTTTTTCGTTGTTGCTTTTACTTAATTTTTTTAAAAAAAGCTATAAAAGCAAATTTAAATAGCACCTGCTCTTGCACTACGAGTAAGCTAATGAACCTGGCTTATTTTTGGAGGCTGGAAACCTAGAACTGCTGAAATCCTTCAGTATTAAGTCATCGTCCCTAAATTGTAGGGCTCCCAAAACTCTATTGGATCCCTGCGTTACGTGAATTCGGTGCTTATGCCACGGAATATTTTATTGTCCTATTAATTGTCCTAAATCAAATGTTACGTTGCCCTCTTTCGCAAACCCCAGAACGTGATTAAATCACAAACCCTGGCTTGTGGACTCAAGCTCAAAGCGGCTTGTGAACCGCATCCACGCCACTCAACGATGCACAATTTCTTGGCAGATCCTTCTCTGAATAAATATCGTTAAAGTAAGGAAGTGGATTGCCCAGATGTTAGTAAGACCGAATGGCATCGCATTTTGGGTTGGAGCATTCATCGCAGAAAGGAAAAAAAAACCTCTTAAATCTGTCTGAGAATGGGTGGAATCCATTTCCAGCCAAAAAGAAGACCCCACCCCAAACACAAAGGGGTTTGAAAGTATTATTACTAATAATGAATTTTATTTTTTTTACCGGAGAGAGGAAGTTTTATAGTATGGAGGGCTTTTTGCACAGACAGCAAAGTACTTTCTCCAGCGTAATCCTAGAGAGATCCAGTGAGAATTGAGTCCCTTGAACTTGGCAGAACTAGGGAGCAGAAAAGAGACCTTTCAATCTGTCCATCTAGAAGGGACCTATACAATCAAAAGAATTGGAAGTAAGGAAGGTGTGACTCGAATGCCTGCGCATCGCTGCCCGTTCGGACATGACCACCTACATCACATCAGCCAAACTGTCAATCTGGCCAGTTTTAAATTGACAACCGCAGCAATTGTATTACAGTAACAGTTTACAAGACCCACAGAGGAGCGAATTCAATCATTAACACCGCTATTAAAAGCCCAAATCTGTCTCGTTTTGCCAAATCTGCAAAGGAAGTCCACAGGATCGAGGCAAATTACTCAGATCCCCATACCCAAGGAAGAACCGACATTAAATTGTCTGTTTCCCCGCATCTCTGGATTCATATTTCTGAACAAAGTCGGGGGTTTTGCCAGCCAGCAAGCACCGCCATTCCAATATGAAAAGAAAAGAGGGGAGAAACTCCATAGCAGACAAAAAAAACCCAAAACTGGTTTCCTTGTTATTAGCAGGGAAACCAGCGCCGGGCCTGCAAAACCAACGTTAGTTCTCCAAATAAATATAGGTGCATTTGTAAAATAATAAATCTCACAGGCAGACAAGCCAAATGGCAGCCTGATGGACACCGAACGTTTATTTTTAGGGATGGGGTTGTAATATTTAAAAAATGTTAATTGCACAGGGCTATTTAGGCCTCCCCCCACTCCCCTAACCGGCAAAAGACAAACAGACGTGAATGCAGCAGCCGGATTGAACCACAGGAATGATCAAAATGCAACATCCCACATGCTCTATGTAGGAAAGAAATCCACCAATTTAGGGACCGGGCCCATAAAGTTGTTACGTAAGGGCAGGACAAGATCCCCCTGCTTAAGGGACTGCAGCTTATCAAGGAAAATTTAAGCAGCCCACAGGGAAAGGGCCAAACAAGAGACGCAGGGCTTGGGTCTGATGAAGAAAAAGTGGCTAGGGAATCAGCTAGAGAATCATTCCTCGCCTCTCCGCAGTTTTAAGACAAGGAGAAGCAACTGTTCCAGCACAGAGACCCAGCAATCAGTCAACAGTGGGAGAATCAAAGGTTCCAGACACAGCAAATCTTCAAATTCTTGCTACACAAAAAAACAATGCAGTAATGTTTGGGTCTTCATGAACATCCTATCCAGATTATTACTACTATACTGAGAGCAGCTAAGATGGGGCAGTCGCCAAATCAGGCTTAAAGTTTGCTTTTCAAAATCCAGGCTTTGGAATAAAGTATTTATATGCTGGATGAAAACAGGGCAAAAGGAAGCCCCCCCCCCACAAAGAAATCAACGGATGCATTTGATCTTCATCCCAAGCTCTGGAAACCTGGCTAAATGCAGAATGCCGTAGACCAGTGTTTCCCAAACTTGACAATTTTAAGGCATGAGGACTTCAACTCCCAGAATTCCACAGCCAGCAACGCTGGCTGTGGAATTCTGGGAGTTGAAGTCCACATGCCTTAAAATTGTCAAGTTTGGGAAACACTGCCGTAGACAAACACCACTTTATAGCTGCCCCTCTTGTAAGTCTACCTTTAAAATCTATCTAGAATATATATTCCATCCTCAGTTTTATTTTGGCTCATGTTTACCTGACGCCGAGCTTTCTGGATACTTGACATGATTGTCCCTCAAAAAAATGATTTATCTGCAGGAATGCCAAGTGCTTCAAGTCACAGAGACCATGAGAGGCAGGGATTGCAAACAATATTTGGAGCAAGGGGAATCAAAACTGCAGGAAAACGTGCAAGCTCTTGTCCTCCCCGTGAAACAAGTCAGAAGCAAAGCTAGAGAAAGTAAGGTGTCTCTTCCAAGCAGCCCCTGAGATCTGGTGCATGTTGTGTTTTAGGCAATAACAACATAGCAAGTTGCCATTTTTTGCTCTTTTCTCCGGAATATTGGATTCCCAGACTTTCGCTAGTCATCTCCCGTCCAAAAATGGACCAGCTGAAAACTTTTTTTTTTCTTTCTGAGAGCATCAGAGTCAGGGCACTGCTGCTTCTTAGCTGGATTTATATTAAAAGTGAGGAAGAAGAGCAGCTACTTACTGCTAAGTATGATCTTGTATTACTTTCCATGGCTAAATTAGAAAGAAATACCAAAGGGAAATATTAAAAGCTAGTTAGGTTATTTAATTGTTTGGTGAATTTGCTCTAGCTTGAAGTTGCATGTAATCATATAAATAACACAACATAAGTAAGAAAATATATATTGTTTATGAACTAAAGCAGAAAAATGTTCAGGATTAGTGAGGAGTTACAGATAACAAAAAAATCTCCAAGATATTTGAATTTCCTGTTCAAAATGGCAATTCTGTTTCTGACGAAGCCTACAACAAAATGAATGTTTCTATTAATGAAGCAGGATTGGAGTTCAAATGTGTAATATGCATAAAATCATGAGGCACTAAGATCAGATTTTGAAAATAAATATCTTAAAATTGCAGTAGCTCTTGTTTTCCCTAGAAACATTAGTTCTTCCAAGCAAGCTTGGAGCAATTTGCTTAGTTAGGGCACTGCTGCTTCTTAGCTGGATTTATATCAGAAGTGAGGAAGAAGAGCAGCTAGACACAGCAAAAAACAAAACAGGAAGGAAGGAAAAAATATTAAATTTAAACTCTGGGAGAAGTTAATTGAAAGCACAATCTTTCTCTCTCTTTTTTTGTACTATGCAGCGGGACCAAATGGGGACCCTATTTTAGACAGTGTCAGCTTTTTTTCCGCCTATTTGCTTTTTTTCAGGGTTTTTTTTTTTCTTATAATGCCGAAGGAGAGACTGCAAAGCAAAGCACGGCAAAAAGAGACCCCCACCCAGTTCTCCAAAGAAGCCACAATGTGTGTGATCCCAGCGGCGTTCGCAAGGAAGCAACACCCAAGGATCTGGCCCCACGCAGAGTTGCGCACTGCAAAAAAAAAAAATTTTTTTTTTTTTTTTTAGCTTTCAGCCCAACAATGATATGGAAAAATCACTCAAGGCAACCAGACCTAGAACAGGATCCTGAAACACTGGAAAAAGGCTTTTCCCCCACACTTCCCCAGCCCCCCCCCCAACTTGCAATAAAGTCATCTCACCCGTGACTTGATCTTTTGATGGCTTCCAAAAGAAATAGAGGAGCGTTAACTCACTTGCCCAACGCCTCTGAGGAGATTCCAGAGATCCAGGATCCGGATCTGAAGATGCATTTTAGCAAGCCTCAAGTTCCTTTCTTCAAACTGAACCGTTTCCTTGCCCTTCTCGGAGGCTAGAAAGAAACCAGCCAGAGGATGATGCCCAGGGAAGCACAAATCTGCATGAGAACAAAACAGCTAAAAGAACAACTGCAACAAAACAAATCAGCAGAGACAGCGTTGTCTCCTACCACAAAAAAAGCAGAAAGCAACTTTAGGCAGAAACTGTTTTAAAACCTGTTTTAAAACTCAGCCGTTGTCTCTCCCCCCCCCCCCATTTGCAGCATTTGTAAAAAGAACCGGCAACAGGTGAATTGCAAAGAAATCTAATTTGGACTTTACCTTGATAATACGATATTCTATTCCTCCCTCTTATTCCGAGGAGCCACGGAGAGGACTCCAAATGCTTGGATCAAGCCCCCCATATTTATTTTATTTTGTTTTGTTTTTTGGTCCATGAATTCCTCACCCGGCTGTTCCCCAAAGGAGCTGATCTTAAGCCCCACGCGTGGAAATAAATCTCAATGATCGTTAGATATTTTTTTTTTCCTCTAGGAGGAGAAATTTTGAAGCATCCTAAGATAAACTAAGTTTCTCCCAGATTTGCTGCCCTTTTTCTCCAGCAAAATCCTTTTTTTAAAAAAAAAAAAAAAATTAAGGTTTCCTTTTTCTCACCCTATTCTGCCCTTTAATCAATTTTCTGGGCTATTTTTTTTTTTTTGTAAAAAGAAGCAGAGTGTGATTTAATGGGTTGAAAACACACCGCTTAAAATATCCAGACAACTTCCAGCATCTAAAATATTACATTTGCTGGTTTGGAAAGAAGGTTCCCCCCCTCCCCCCCCGTGGATGAATTAGCCCACACCGGTATTTTTAAGCTCTGCAAAAATGATTTAAAAAAGAGGATCTGCTTAGCTCAGAAGATGGAGGGGGGGAGAAAGTCATTTATTACCATTTAAATACTTATGGGCATTACTGTGCTGTAATAAAAGAAGCAGCCAAAATTGTTAAATAGGAAACGAGATTATCTTTTCACCAAATTCTTTCTAATGAGATACAAACAGGATGAGATTTGATCAAAAAGAGGACTTGCAGATTAGAAAGAGGACTTGCAAATATAGATAGATAGATAGATAGATAGATAGATAGATAGATAGATAGATAGATAGATAGATAGATAGATTAAAAGGTGCATTTTCATATTACTTCATACCCAAAGTAGCTACAATGCATGTTTGACCCAGAATGGAATACAGATATTCACAAAGTTATTTTAAAATGTTCTTTCCGTGTTTAAAAGCTGCAGGTTAGCATTACAAAATTTGCCCTGGCTTCGTCTAAAACAAATGGCTTTTTTTTTTTATAGAAAACTGAATCCATGTATAAATCTTACCAAAAAGGAAAGGGATACATAGATAAAGCTGAGAGGGAAAATTTAAATATTGAAGGTGATCTGAAACAGAATCTACAGAAAACCATAGGAAAAAAAAATCAAAAGAAACCCAAACAGCAAATGCAAGACTATCTATTTTGCTAGGCAATGTTTGAACTAAAGGCCTTTTAATTTCATCTGTCCAGCCTTGCAGAAAATTTCAAATGTTTTCTAAATCTCTGGGTTCTTTCCAGAGGCTAGAATTATGCAGACTCATACATTTTCTCTCTGAAAAAAAGCAAATCAGAATTATCTCTCTCCCCCCCCCCCCCCCCGTGTTTTCTCCTCCTCAGACAAACCAGACGCAAAGATCTTCAGCAGATTTAGAAAAACTAGAAAGGGAAGACCAAGGGATATTTATGTCTAAAGAGATTTATTTTATTTTTTTTTTTTGTTTCGTAGCAAATGAAAGCTAGGATGCCTGAACACAAACAGAAACAGTTCATGACAAATAAACAAAAAATATATTTATCTATATATAAATATTAAGTTGGTTTGAGGTTGTAACTTGCCTGCATGGCTCAAAAGCAGGATGTGAAAAAAAGAAAAGAAAAAACAATAAAGATTAAGAACTGAATCAAAGCTTCAGAGGAAATCAATTTTACCTAGATGAAACTGTTAAAAACCACAAAAATTGAAAGGTTCATTTAAAAAAAATGCACCAGTTTCCAAAATGTCACACAAATTGTGCCGGGCTTTTGAGAAACGCCCCCCATTAGTCATTTAGCATCCTTATTCCCTTTACGATTTCATTTTTTTTTAAATAAACGTTGAAAAACAGCATCCCCTCCGCCCCCCCCCCCCCGGAAATCCAGTTCAGTAAAGCGAATTTGCCCCGGAAAAGCGGTCAACTGCCAAGATTTTCCCGTGGGCTAATTCTGCAATAAATAAAGTGTGCATTTTTTATCAACCAAGGTTCTGACTTGCGTTTCACACGCTCCCTTGAAATTTAATAAATAATTCTGGTGCATAGTATTTGTATAACATCAATATAGCAGCAGTTCATATAGTCATCTATTGCCTTTTCAAATCATCTTTAAGTAAGGAGTGTTTAAATTTTTTTTCTTCCCCTTCCCCCCCCCTCTCCCAATAATTGTTTTAAACAGCATAGATTAATTTTTTAAATCTCTATAAAACAAACAGCATTATTATTTTTTTTTAATCCAATCGATTACTGTATATAGTGCATTCGGCTCTGTCAACATCGTCGTTTAAATTAATGCTTTATATTATTTGCATGCTATTACATACAAACTTTCATTAAGACTCATGTTTGAAGTTCGTTTTGTTTTTTGTGTGTTTTTTCCTTTTCATTTAAACACCAAGCAAAGGAAGGCTGGAGAAAACCAGGGGTGGGGTCCCGGGGGGGGGGCGGGGAGAGGTGGGGTAGAGGGAGAAGAAGGAGGGGGGGGGATCAAAGGCGACCGCTATACAAGTGGACACTTTGAATAATAAGTTAATTGGCTCAGTTCCCCGTCTTAAAAAAAGGACGCACAGACACACAACTAGGAATTAAGGGGAAAGAGGACGGGAGGGGGGGGGGGTTAAGATTAAAAAGGCAAGTAAACTCAGCCCAGCTTCCGAGGCCGAACAAAGCCGAGTCCCCGCCGGCAAAGAGGCGCTGGGGCCGCCCCGTCGAAAGAAGAAGGAGCCAGCGAGCCAGACGGGACGGGCGGACCGAGGCGGCCTCGCCCGGAGCAGGGCGCCCCGTCGGGGAGGCGAGGCGGGCTAAATCCCATACATGGCCGGCATGCAGGAATGCTCAGAGGGGTTCCGTCGGGGCAGGAGGAGCGGGAGGGGGGGGCTCCGTCGAAGGGTCCCTGGCCCGGCTAGTCCAGCGTCCAACGGCTCCTATCCGTCCGTCCGTCCAGGCGGGGGGGGGGGCGTCCAGTCTCTCTCCGTCCAAGGCGGTCCGGGCGAGGCGGGCATCTGCTGGGCCGTCGAAGAAGAGGGTCCACGTCCAGGCGGACGGCCAGCCACACAGCCAGACCGACCGACGGGTGGGTGGGTGGGTTGGCTGGCAGGAGGGTTCCCCCCTTCCCTTCCCAGCGCTGCGCCCTCGTCCTCCCGTCGGGCCGGCATGGAAGGCCCCCCCTCCTCGGTCCTCGCCGTCGAGGCCCGGCCGCTCTCACAGGAAGAAGTCCGCGGGCTTGGGGGGGCCGGGGGCCGGCGGCGGCGGGGGCTCCCGGGGCCCGGTGGGGCCGTTGGGGCCGGCAGGGGGGAAGGCGCGCCCGGCCAGCTTCTCGTACTTCTCCTTGTAGAGGTCGCGCTCCTTGGCCAGACGCGCCACGTCGAGCTTCAGCTGCTCCACCTGGCCCTGCAGCTGGCACTTCTCGTTCTCCAGGATGTGCCGCTGCTGGACGCGCTTGTAGCGGCAGGACTGCGCGTAGCCGCGGTTCTTCAGCGTGCGCCGCTTCTGCTTCAGGCGGATCACCTCCTCCTTGCTGAAGCCGCGCAGCTGCCGGTTCAGCTCGCGCACCGACATGGAGACCAGCTGCTCGTCGGAGAAGCGCTCCTCCAGCCGCGCCTGCAGGTGGTGGTGGTGGTGGTGGGCCGGGTGGTGGTGGTGGTGGTGGTGGTGGTGGCCGCCCCCGGCGCCGTGGTTGTGGTGGTGGTGGTGGTGATGGTGGTGGGGGCCCAGCGGCGGGTGCGCCCCGGCGGAGCCCGGCGCCAGCTCCTCGCCCGGGAAGGGCTGCCCTCGGAAGCCGTCGAAGCTGCCCCCGCCGCCCGGCCCGCCGTGGTGCCCGTGGGGATGGGGGTGGGCGGCAGAGGCGGCGGCGTTGACGTGGTGCGGGGCGCCGATCAGCGCCTCGACGGCGTCCTCGGGGGTCAGGTTGAGCGCCTCCGGGTTGAGGTGGTGCTGGTAGCTCGACATCCAGTAGAGGTCCTCCAGCTGCGCCGCCTTGCCGGGCGCGGGGTTGCCGTGGCCGCCGTTGGGGTGGCCACCACCGGGACCTCCCGTCGGGGCTCCCAGGCCGGGCGCGGTCTGCCCGCCGGGGCTGGCGTCGCAGAAGCTGGGCGAGGAGGGCACGGAGGAGCAGGGCGTGCTGAGCGGCGTGGAGGAGAGCGAGCCCGGCGGCGGCAGGCGGTGGCAGAAGCGCTCCGCCTCAGCCGGCTCCTTCTTCACCTCGAACTTCATCAGGTCGAAGTCGTTGACGTACTCGATGGCCAGCGGGCTGCTGGGCAGCTCGGCCCCGCTCATGGCCAGCTCCGAGGCCATCTCAGGCCACGGCCAGGGCCGCCAGCCCCGCCGACGGCCCGCCGACGACGGCGGCAGCAGCCCCGCCGCCCGCCCCGTCCGCCGCGTGGCTCCCCCAGCCCTGCCCCGGGGGTGGGGTGGGGGGGAATGGAGGTGGCCGCTGGCCCGGCTGGGCTCCCCCGGGACGGCGAAGGGTCCCCGCTGCGGGGAGGAGGAGGAGGAGGAAGAGAAGGAGGAGGGGGCTGCTGGGCGACCCCCCCCCCGCCGGCCCGTTCCGCGCGAGGGTCCCGGCGCTGCGCCCTCCGCCGCCGGCCAGCCCGCCGCCTCCCCCCTCCGCGCGCGACTGAAGTGCTGAAGGGGGCATTCTGCCTTTTATAGGGAGGCCGGGCAGGCCCCGCCCGCCGAGGCGGGGGCTGCCCGCCTCCCCGCCTATAAGGGGCCGGGGCTGGCGGGGCCGCCGGCTGAGCCTATCGCAGCCCCGCCGTCCAGCTGTCAGTCTCTCGCGGGAACAGCTGGAAGCCGAGGGGAGGGGAGGGGAGGGGGGAGAGAGGGAGGGAGGAGGGAGGCTCCCCCCAGCGGCCGCACCAGGCAAGGGTCCCCCGGCGGGGGCGGGGCTCCCCGCGCACGTGCGTGCGCAGACCCGGGAGGGTCCCCAACCGGGCGCCCGCGCCTTTACGGAGGGAGGGGCGGCCGGAGGGCCGCGCTGGTGCAGAAGAGACTGGACAGCCACTTGTCTGAACTGGGATAGGGTCTCCTGCTCAAGCAGGGGGTGGGCTAGAAGACCTCGGAGGCGCCTTCCAGCTCCATTCTGATTGATTGATTGATTGATTGATTGATTGATATTGATTGATTGCATGGCCGGCTTGTCCTGGGCAGCGCCCCGGGCTTGTGTCCTCACCACGTCCCGAGCCTCCGAGGGAAGGCAGCCCACTCGGGAAGCCCTCTCCGCCACGCCTCCCTCCGCCCAGGGCTGGTGCGGACGGAGCCCTCCGCGAGAGCGGATCGTAAGTCTGCGCGTTAAACAACAGACACACACACAGAGATCCAGATACGCACGCACGGAAGCACACGCACCCACACGCACCGCACCAAGAGGGGCTGCCAGGATCTTTGGTTTCACTTGCAAGCAGCGTTGTTGCCCACCTGGGGCGCCAAATGGGAGCGGATTGGTAATCGGATGGGAGACCACCAGGAGAGCCATGGTGAAGCATCCACCTTGGACAAGGTAAGTGATTGAGGGAAGTTCACAAAATCCAGCCCGGGATTCAATCCGCCTCCAGGGAACCTTGTCCCAGCAGGCAGCAGCAGCCCCTAAGGAAGGTCAGGATGGATGGGAGGCTACCAGGAAAGCCAAGCTGGGGGCTGCATGCTTGAAAAATAGCCCAGAAACTACCCTGCGGAGCCTTTTCTGACTTTTTTTCCTAAGGAACCCCATGGAGAAAGCCATAAAGCCATGAGCTGCAGTTGAGTCTGAGTGCAAGGACGTCTACTTCGCTTTCCCTGCTTTGGGGAGGGGGTGGTGGAGACGGGGGGGGCAGCCCCCTCCTCTTCACCCTAAATAGAAAGATGGCAAATGGTAACTGGTCAATTATCTCGATTTTGCAAAGTTGTCATGTGATTCCTACCAGGGTGGGCATTATCGATTTGGCATGATCAAGCTAATAAAAGCAATTTGAACTGCTTGAATTCACTCTAGACAGCCTGGGCTTTTTTCAAAACAAACAAACAAACAAACAACCCAAACAACAGCATGACTTGTTTAACACAGAGAGGGAAAAATAAAGAGAGAGAGAAAGAAAGCAAGAGAGAGAGGGAGAGAGAGAATGACAGAGAAAGTAAAGAGAGAGAGAAAGAGAGAGAGTAACAAAGAGAAAAACGCATAGAGATATAAAGAGAGAGAGAGAGAGAAAGAAAGCAAGACAGTAGGAAAGAGATAGGTAAAGAGTAAGACAAAAAGAGAGACAAAAGAAGAGAAAGAAAGCAAGAGAGAAATGAGAGAAAGAAGAAAGAGAAAGAAGAAAAATGGAAAGGGAGAAAAATGAGAGGAAGGAAGGAAGGAAGGAAAGAAAGAAAGAAAGAAAGATAGGAAGGAAGGAATAAGGAAGGAAGGAAAGAGAAAGGAAGGAAGAAAGGAAAGGAAAGGAAAGAAAAGAAAAAAGGGAAGGAAGGAAGAAGAAAAGAGAAAGGAAAAAAGAAAGGAATAAGGAAGGAAAGAGAAAGAAAGAAAAGAAAGGAAGGAACAAGGAAAGAAAGGAAGGAATAAGGAAGAAAGGAAGAAGGGAAGAGAAAGGAAAGAAAGAAAGGAAGGAATGAATGAAGGAAGGAAGGAAAGAGAAAGGAAGAAAAGGAAGGAAGGAAGAAGGAAAGAGAAAGGAAAAAGAAAAGAAGAAAGGAATAAGGAAGGAAGGAAAGAGAGAAAGGAAGGAAGGAAGAAGGAAAGAAAGAAAGGAATAAGGAAGGAAGGAGGGAGGGAAGGAAGGAAGGAAGGAAGGAAGGAAGAAGGAAGGAAGGAAGGAAGAAGGAAAGAGAAAGGAAAGAAAGAAAGGAAGGAAGGAATAGGGAAGGAAGGAAGAAAAAAGAAAGGAAGGAAGGAAGGAAAAAGGAAAGAGAAAGGAAAGAAAGGAAGGAAGGAAGGAATAAGGAAGAAAGGAAGGAAAGAAAGAGAAAGGAAGGAAGGAAGGAAAGAGAAAGAAAAGAAAGGAAGGAAGGAAAGAATAGGGAAGGAAGGAAAGAGAAAGGAAGAAAGGAAGGAAGAAGGAAAGAGAAAGGAAAGAAAGGAAGGAAGAAGGAAAGAAAGGAAGGAAGGAAGGAAGGTAGGGAGGAAGGAAGGAAGGGAGGTTATTGCCACCCAGAGTGGCCACTTTCTTACCTGTCTGTTTCGGCTTAAACAGGTGTGGTGGAAGAAGGATGGGAAATTTTCCCCTTTGGACATCTGGAGCCTGAAGCAAAGTCACTTGCTCAAAAAAAGACCCAGCTGGAACTTCTCTGAATTTTTAAATTTTATTTTGCAATACATTGACCAGTTTTTTTTTGTTGTTGTTTTTGTTTTTGTTTGGAAAGAAGAAAAAAGAAAAGAAAAGCAGAACTTCAAAGCATTTTCCAGACCTCGATTCCAAATTACCCAAAGCAGCCAAGTAACACGATCACCCTGGAGCAAGGACCGATTCGGGATCATTTCGAGGGCCGGACCTCAAAGAGGAACCCTCTGTGCTTCTCGAAAGAGGCCCGGAAAAGCAGGGGAAACGGTGGAGGACCTCTCGGTTGGGGGGGGGGGGAAGAGCACGGCCAATGTGGGGGCCCCCATGGGAACCAGCCTCTCTCCTACACAGCCAGCCTCTTTCCCAGAGCTAGGAAACTGCTGGTTTGTGTAAAAGACACACAGCCACACACAAACCCCAGCAAGGCCAGTGTTGGGACACCAGCAGGGGTCTCCAAGGGGTGATTAAGGTGGCCCTAAAGAGGCCTCAAAGCTTTGATGTGGTTTTGGAAGTGCTCTCTGCCCTTCCAGGATACTCTCTCATCCAGCTTGGTCTGTCTGTCTGTCTCTCTTTCCTGTCTCTCTTTCCTGTCTCTCTTTCCTGTCTGTCTGTCTATCTATCTATCTATCTATCTATCTATCTATCTATCTATCTATCTATCTATCTATCTATCTATCTATCTCTGCCTGTCTGTCTGTCTGTCTGTCTATCTGTATCTATCTCTCTATCTATCTAATCCAGTGTTTCTCAACCTTGACAATTTTAAGGCATGTGGACTTCAACTCCCAGAATTCCACAGCCAGCATTGCTGGCTGTGGAATTCTGGGAGTTGAAGTCCACATCCTTTAAAATTGTCAAGGTTGAGAAACACTGATCTAATCTATCATCTGTCTGCCTCTCTCTCTCTCTCTCTCTCTCTCTCTAATCTATCTATCTATCTATCTATCTATCTATTTATCTATCTATCTATCTATTTCTGTCTGTATCTATCTATCTAATCTATCATCTGTCTGCCTGTTTCTCTCTCTCTCTCTAATCTATCTATCTATCTATCTATCTATCTATCTATCTATCTATCTATCTATCTATTTCTGTCTGTATCTATCTATCTAATCTATCATCTGTCTGCCTGTTTCTCTCTCTCTCTCTCTAATCTATCTATCTATCTATCTATCTATCTATCTATCTATCTATCTATCTATCTATCTATCTATCTATCTATCGTCTGTCGGTCCATCCGCTCACCCACCTTGATTAGTGTCCATCCGTTGCTTCTTGTCCTGCCTTCAGGCGCTTTGGGGAAGAGCTTGACTCCCTCTTCTTTGGGGCAGCCCCTGAGATATTGGAACACTGCTATCATGTCCCCCCACCTCTTCCTTCTCTTCATTAAACTAGACTTACCCAGTTCCAGCAGCCATTCCTTATATGCTTTAGCCTCCAGTCCCCTGATCATCTTTGTTGCTCTTCTCTGCACTCTTTCTAAAGTCTCAACATCTTTTTTACATCATGGTGACCAAAACTGGATGCCGTATTCCAAGTGTGGCCTTACCAAGACTTTGTAAAGTGGTATTAACCCTTCATGGGATCTTGATTCTATCCCTCTGTTAATGCAGCCTAGCACTGTGTTGGCTTTTTTGGCAGCTGCAGCACACGGCTGGCTCTTATTTAAGGGATTGTCCACTAGGACTCCGAGGTCCCTCTCACAGTTACTACTATTGAGCAAGGTACCCCCTATACCATACCTGTGCATCTGGCTTTTCTTGCCTAAGTGTAAGACCTTATTTTTCTCACCAATGAATTGCATTAAACCAGGGGTCTTCAAACTTGGCCCTTTTATGACTTGTGGACTTCAACTCCCAGAATTCCTCAGCCAGCGTATGCTGGCTGAGGAATTCTGGGAGTTGAAGTCCACGAGTCACAAAAGGGCCAAGTTTGAAGACCCCTGCATTAAATTGATGGTGCTCACTCACACCCACCCCCTCCCAACACACAAGGCAGCTTGGCTTGATTTGCAGAGACGCAAAAGGACCTCCGGTGCAGCTTCTACCACTCAGCCAAGGTCAGCGAAGATACCAGGACACCACGGTGAACATTGGCCGACCTTTAATTTGCTTAATTAGAAGTCGCCAGATTCTATTGCACGGGGGATTTTGTAGACGCTCGTTATTGTGAGGTTTCTGATTGGATTGGGAAGGCATTTACAAAGGGGGGGGGGAGTTCCCATCCCTGAGCAATTGATGAGTAAAAGAGGATCCCATCCGATTTAAATCCGATCTTCTGACTGAGAGCTGAAGCAGATCCCCCTCGGATCATCTAACTCTCTTTCTAGTAAAACTCTGGAAAGACT